GCTGAGGTGGTTGACTGACCTGTTCTATCTTCCATCTTTTCTTGGTTAGGATTCTGAGTCCGCCATTTCGATTGGGGGGATCTCCAAAGAAACTCTGAGGTGTTCTCAGACCAGATTCTTATATGTACTAGCAAGTACAGGGCCTGGTACAGTCCATCGCCCCATCAGCTGGTGACTGCAACTGCTGGGTTGGTTCTGTTTTCAGCCCCGCTTTCCACTGGAACCAATGGGTGTTGTAGTCCATCTTCGCTCTGCCCATCACATACTCAGCCCTCACGTAAGCCAGTGGGAGCTGCAGCTCAGTCAGAGCGACCCACAATAACCCCCACCAGGCCCGCCCCTACCCTGGTTGCTCCACTGTATTCTTAACTTCTGAAATGTCAGCTTTCATTTGATTCATTTCCTGCATAACAAATTCTTCAAATTCTTTGAACTATTGTATTATGTGTTTTCATTGCTGTTCAGAAGCTTTATAATAAGTTCTGATTTCTGTGTCCCCATTTTTTCAATGTCTTCCTCAGTTAACTCTGAAGATAGCAGAGGCTCTGTTCCTTTACTGGGGAGCCTTTAGCAACATTCATTGTGCCTCTGTCTCTTCTTTTTAACTTTTGACATTGCAATCCTGTGGTGTATTTTTCTCCATTCAATCAGTATCCTGGGTTAGGAAGACGCCAACTGTCCCAGATAATTAGTTTATCGGCAGCACTGATCTTGTCTAAACACACAAGATGGCGCCCACTGGAGCGGTGCTAGAGAGCCAGGCTGTTGCCTGTCCGATCAGGGGACCACTCAGATCCTGCAGGATGCAAAGCTGGAGCTGTCCTCCAATGAGATCAGCCGGGTGTGACTAGCTGGAAACGTGTCCACTCCAGCATTTGATCCCTGTGCTGTTAGCTACGATCAGCCATCAATCTACCCTGCAGAGTTCACAGCTCCCTTTCCGTTCATTGCTGGGCCAAAGTATTCGACAGGACTGCCCAGTCCCAGCCTGCCTTCACCTTCAGAGTTCCCCATGCAAATCCAAGCTCCTCCCTAGCTGCCGCAAAGGCTGATCTATGGCTGCCTCTGAATCCCTGTTGTTGCTGAGTCCAGATCACAGCTCGCTGGTGGCTGGTGGGTTTTCTGTTCCCTGTGACACCACTCTGCTGTCGTCTCCTCTTCCCTGTGTCCAGGGGTTCTCCAGGTACCTCCCTGTTGACTTCCTGACCTCTAGCTGTTTCTGCAATCTGCTCTCTGTTCTTTACCCTAATAATTCTCCGTCATCTCAAACATGTCTGCACCCTTTACCGCCATTTTGATTCCTCTCACCTCAAGCACCCTTAAAACAACATTGCCGTGACCTCTGTTCAGTCCACTTTTGCTCTGACTGGACCATGTCCACCTCTTGGTAGCCACTGTTTTGGTTGTGCTTTGTCTTCAGGATAGTCCTTAAAAAGCCATATTTTACCTCCTAATTCTTCAAACACTTCAAGATACTGATACTCCTATTTAAAATTTCCACTGAAAAGTCTATGACTATTCTAGATACAAAGTTTTAGAATACAGGAACAAAGTTTTTTCAACTTTATTTTTTCATTTAGAATTGTACAAACTGGGGTCACTGTTATAGCATGGCAGATAAGGCTATACCTATAATGCCAAAATCCCTTATAGTAGCCAGTTCACATCCTAGATGTTCCACTTCAAATTTAACTACCTGTTTACAGCCTGGGAACAACTGTTTGGGCCCCTGCCACCCACATGGGAGACGTGGATTAAGCTCTTAGCTCCTGGTTTCATCCTGGCACAGGGATGATCATTGCAGCCATCTGTGGAAAGAACCAATAGATGGAAGATTCTCTGTCTCCTTGTCTTAATCTCCATTTCCATCTCCTCCTCTATCTCTCTTTCTGTAGCTCTGACTTCCAAATACTTAAATACATTTTAAAAATAAAAGAACTGCATAAGCTGAACCAACTGAAACATCTGTGGTTTGGACTAATGTTTAGTGTTGTTGATTGTGGGTACTGTTTAATTAGGGCACCAACAACCAGAAACATTCTCCTCATAAAGTGATGTGATGATCTGCCACTAAGGGCTTCATTCTTTAGTATCAACTCATCCCCTCTAAAACAAGTTGTCTGTTTGTCAACTGCTGATTTCCTTAAGGCATTGTCTGCTTAAACTTCTCACAGGGCATCAACAACTTCACAATTACTCTACTCAAACATCATAAATTTGACGTTTGTTCTTCATTTAATTGTAACAAAATTCTTTTCAATCTGACGTTTTACCCTTCTTAGTGCCTGAAACTAGATCTTGTGTAGACATGGTACAACAAATTTATATGAGTTTGCTTCAGGGGAAAAAGAAATTTAAAGCCATGGTTAGTTTTTTTTTCTGAAGATCTCTCAGATTAATTTTGCATGTTTCCAAATAGTCACTCAGTTGGGTCCTAGACCTGCTAAGAATGATCCATGACATTCAGAACTTTCTCTGTGTCACTCAATGACTCAAGCATAGTTTGAAGTCCATCCTATGGACAGTCTGCCTCAACAGCAGGAAAGTAATCAACCACAAGGCCTCGACCAGATGGGAGAGAAAAACATGGCTTTTTCTAACTGTGCCATCTCATTTACCCGTGCCCTCCTGGTAAAGTTCCTCTTCCCATTCCCATACCTTCACTCAGTGTTGTCTGCCTCAGGTAGCAGTGATGAGAAGAGAGCAGAAGCTTTCTGACAGAGGAGCTAGCCACGAGTAGTGCCAGGCCTGCTACAGTCACCAGGAAATGTGTACATGTCTTTCTGATTCAGTCTGAGATCCACAGCCTCTCTCACATCTTTGCGTGGCTGGAGCTCTCTGCACTGGTACCCAATATGGCTCTTCAGGCAGTGCGCAACTTCATCCTGCTTCCCTCTGGGCCACTCCATCAGAATGGCAGCCACATGTACCCAGGGCAACAGCTGCCTTGAGATCCACACTCCTCCCCCAGCCAGAGACTATGAGGGTCACTGAGGTCTTCCATCTGACCACCGTGGATGTCTCCTGACACCAGCACTGGCTCCTCCAAAGATATCAAGTGTGCAGGGAGATCTCTCGGACAGATGCACACCCCACACTGCAGCCAGGGGTGCCCCTGACCAGTGTCTACACACCATGTCAGCCCTTCCCAGGCTGAAATGGGAGAGGTTTATGTGCTCGCTTCGGCAGCACATATACTGAGATGGGAGAGGTTTCCCATCTTTTCTTGTCCCAAACTCTCAGGACACATTCCAGAGACACTAGGAGTCAGCAGGCAGAGCAAACACCTAGCCAGAGCAGACAACATCAATGTCTTCTTCCTGCAGCCACACCTGGAACTTCACAATCATCCTTCCATGTCACACCATTCCTAAAGCCAAACCCCAAAATTTCACAACCAATCCTTCCATGTTGCACCATTCCCGCAGCCACAACCTGAAACTTCACAACCAATACTTCCACACCATACCATACCTACAGCTGCACCCCAGAACTTAAAAACAAATCCTTCCATGTCACACCATTCCTGCAGCCACACCCCGAAACTTCACAACCAATCCTTCCATACCTCACCACACATTTTTGTGCAAACAAGTGAAGGGAGCTACCAATTCATTAGCTCTGCTTGCTCCAAAAAGCAATCTCCTCATAGCCCACACCCTAGTCCACGTTGGACTATAGCTGTGCCAGAGCCTGGCTTCTTAGCAAGCCATGCAGTGAAGCAGCCATGGGCAGACTCCTGGTGCCAGCTCCTGACTCCAGCTTCTCACCAGGGCAGACTCTAGGAGGTAGCCATGACAGTCACTAGGTTCCTGCCTCCCCCAGGAAAGGCCTGGATTGCACCCCCAGCTCTTGCCCTTGACCCTGTCCAGCTCAGCTGCTACAAGCATCTGGGACTGGACAATGGGTTGGAGCTCTCTGTGCTTCTCTATCTCTCAAATTGAAAGTATAAAAATTATTTCTCAAAACACAATTTTACTTGCTAATAGTGGCAATATTAATTTTGATAATCACACAAATGCACCTGGAGGGTTTTAACTACTGTTCATCTTAAAGTCTCCTGCCAACAAATCACATTTGAAACAGGTCTGCAAACTCTTGGGCTGTTTCCAATTTCAAAGGAAGCACAGCTGCTGCCTCAGCACGTAGCTTTACTTTGACCCTTCATACATCTCCCAGGCCGAGTAACGAATCCCCGGGTTTTCAAACATGTCCACCATAAACACAGCAGTCATGTCTTTAATATTTCTATGAAGACGTATCACTCTGGCTTTTCTCAAAACAATTTAATTCAATAAAAATTAATATAATATATAGCTCTGTGTTTACTAGAAGTCCAGGCTTTTCAGTGAATTTCTAGAGACAGACTATGTCTGTTTAATATCCTATTACAAACACAAGGTTATCTAAAATTAGAAAACACACCTGACGGTGACATTCCGGTCCCACCCAGGATTGTTTATGGCTGGCCATCAATCTCACTTTGCCCTGACCAGCATGAATCAGGAGAATGATAAGTATCTGAATGGAAACGGAGCAACCATCCAATTAAAGACACTAAACATGAAACCAAAGAACGTGAAAATCTCACTAGTGCCACCTACAGGACCAAAGGAAAATGCAGATAAGAAAGATCTTAAAAAGTAACTGTGTGGAGTGCAGATTCCATGTATATGAAAACCGTGTGTGTGTGTGTGTGTGTGTGTGTGTGTGTGTGTACATACACCAGCAAATCTCTGAATTACTTCCCAGGACAGTGTTCTACAACCAAAGGAAAGTACACAATTGGGTAATGTAAAAATAGAACAAAAAAAGTTTTCTTCAGAATCAAGAAAACCTGAAGCACAATGTGGATTTGCCTATACTCTGTCTTAGGAGGTTCAGGAAAGCGTACAGAATGTGTTAAATCTAGAAACAGTGGGACGAACAATTACGCCATACCCAGTAGCAGTTGGAGGACTGCCTGCAGACAGGTGGCAAGGCCTCCCAGCCAGCCTCACCTTACATTCCACCACGCTCTGGTCTGACTCGCAGGTCACATAGATTTCATCCACTGCCCGGCGAAGGTTGTCAAACAGGAACGCCCAGTATCGAGCCCGCAGATCAATTTTCCGAGGTTGTCTTGTTTTGGTAGGACTTTTATCAAAGTGCTTTTCTCCAGTTGTGGATGCTATTTTACAGTCTACTGTAGTGTTCTGGGGGAATAAAACAGAAAAATGTGTGAGTAAATGGACATCTAGGGATTGGACTGCAGTATAAAAAATAAATTTTAAACAAATAGTGTAAATAGTCTCTATCAATGTAAGCACTTTTAAAAAACAAGACACTGTTCTTTCAGCTCATGTCACATTCCAGCTCCTCAAAATAAGCTGTTCATGTTCCAAAGAGCAGGTTGGTAAGGTCAGTCTCATTGAGACCTGTCCGACTCAAGGCCAGAATGGCCAGTGGTACAAAAACCCCAAGCGAGAAGAAGCACTGAAGTTACTCCTCATTTACCAAACACACGGACTGCAGGTCTATACACTTGTGTGAACAACAGACACAAGCTCACATGGATTCTTTCCACTGGCAAAAGCCACAGGCGATCATTACATACTCAGTTACCCGATGTCATCCTAAACCACGCTTCCACAGAGGAAAGCGAAACAACAAAACCAGGCAGCAGCTCCAGAGCAGAGAGCACACGCAGCAGCTCTGGGGTCTGCCTGACCCCTTCTTTCCAGACGCTCAGGCACACTACTCTTCAGAACACAGAATTATGACCTACACTTTCATGGACTGATCTTAGAAGCACCGCCAAAATCATGAGCCTCAAGTTCACAGAAGGAAGGGAAGGGGGAAAAGGGAATGAAAAAAGGGAGGAGGGGGGTGGAGAAGAAGGGGAGTGGGAATGGTGAAGGAGAATATCTGGGTGGAGGACCAGAGGGAGAGATGGCATGACGAAGGGGAGACGGAGTGAACTGGCCTCTCATTAGAGCAGCGGAAAAGATGCCCAGAGAGGAGGGCATCCTCACTAGCACCCACACTGTCTTGCCCTCAGACGCTGCCTTCAATACTAGAAGTGGTTCCTAGACCCAATCCTTGGTTTCTGCTGCGCCATCACCACGGCAAAGTAAGCTTGCAGACCACATGTACATATGTACACACACACTTGTGCACACATGTACATGCATCTTTCACAACTGGCCCCTCCTCAGATCACTATTGCCAGACTTCACAATTAAAAGCTTAAAAACATTTCATCTGGGATTGGCACTGTGGCACAAAACATTAAGCCTCCACCTGCACCACCACCCCATATGAATGCCAGTTTGAGTTCCAGTGGTTCCACTTTCTCTCTCTCTCTCATTCAAAGATTTATTTTATTTGAAAGGCAGATTTACAGAGGGAAGGAGAGATGTAGGAAGAAAGATCTTCCATCCACTGGTTCTCTCCCTGAGTAACCAGCCTGAGCTGAGCCAATCAGAAGCCAGGAGCTCCTCTCAGGTCTCCCACGTGGGTGTAGCATTCCAAGGATGGGCCATCCTCCACTGCCTTCCCAGGCAAACATTCGTAGGGAATTGAATCAGAAGAGGGCAGGGTGCTGTGGCTCTACATGCTAATCCTCCACCTTCAAGTGCTGGCATTCCATACGGGGTCATACAGAGACTGAACCAGCAGATGGAAGATCTCTGTTTCTCTCCCTCTTCCTCTGTATCTCTTTTCAAACAAATATTTTTAAAAATAAAGGAAGATGTATTGTGGATATCTACTTCTCCTGAAGTGATAGATTTTAATACTCACATGTGTAACTCAAGAAAAAAAATAGATAATTGCTTACTCATCATTGTACCTCAGGATCTAATTTTTAACAGAATAGAAACTGAGAAATGTATAAATTAGTATAAAATCAATATATACTCAATTAAGAAAAGACAAGAGACACAGAATCCCACTGCACAGAAGAGATGGCAACCTACCATTTCAGATGGACTGACTATTGATTAGAAAGGTAGAGAAGGGAAGAGGGGAGAGAGGGAAAAGTCTCCCATTGGCTGCTTCATGCCATAAACGGCCTCAACAGCCAGGGCTGAGCCAAGCCATGCCGGAAAACAAGGAATTCCACACTGCTCTCCCACACAGATAGCAGGGGCCCGCCTGGGCCACCTTCTGTTGCCTTCCCACAGAGTACTTATAGAACAGTCTGACAGAGAGGAGGCCAGACCGAGATATCTTCTATCCACTGGTTCATTCCCTAGATGGGTGCAGGACCAAGGCAGGATCAGGCTGAATCCAGGAGCCAGAAGCTTCTTCCCAGTCTCCCACATGGGTGCAGGGGCCCAAGCACCCAGACCATTTACCACTACTTTCCCAGGAGCATTAACAGGAAATAGGGATGTTGGTACTGCAGGCATGGCTTAACCCACTGTGCCACAGCACTGGCCTACATCAGCCCCTGGACACACCAACTTTTATATTTGTCAACTACATACCAGGCAATCCTTTAAGTTTATTTGTATAGACTAAATTAATGGACCCTCAGAATACATCCATAATGTATCGTTAACTCCACTTTATACATGAAATTAACATTAACACCCAAGCAACCATTACCCAAAACTCATAACCGTTCATGCTGTGCCACTCCTGAGTCAGATAAAACACTGTGAATACAGCATTCCAGGTAAAGCTGAAATGCTCTCTGCTTCCCTCCCCTCTGCTGATGGAAGCCCTGATTGTAACCCTGCGCATATTTCTCCAGGCCACATTCTTCCATCCTGCACCTACAGAACCAGAGTGGTGGCTGTGAGGAAAAGGCCTCTGCACAGTGTAGACTGAAGATGCCCGCTCTTGCCCAGGTGGATGTACATACCAAGTGGGCAACTGATAGGAATGCAACATATAGAATCAAAGGAAGATCCAGCTGAAGATAAAACGTAGAAGAAAATGACACACAGATGGCATCTGAAGCCAGGAAAAGTTACCAGCAAGAACATGCAAGTAGATAGAGAAGGGAAAAATAAACACCCAGAGGCTCTGTAATGTGATCAGCTCAGGGAAAAGAGAAAGAACCAAGGAGTGTCACCGTGTCCTGGGGAGGTTATGAACCAAGGGACAAAGAGCATCAGCTGCTCCAGTCGGTCAACTAAGGTGAGGACTGAGAGGAAACCAAAGGACTGACCAGAGCCCACGTCACTACTGACCTTGCCAACAGCTTTTTCAGCAGAGCAAGGGGTACCAAAATGTTTCCCTCCAGATGCCAGCTCTAAGAACGCTGCTTTACTGGTCAGAATACCCCAGCAGAGAGGCAAAGCCTTCAGGCCCAAAGAGCTTGTAACGGAGCAGCCTGGGTCCCGGGCAGCCACATAAGACAAGAGAGGGGTCTGAGCAATCTCATCCACAGGGCTCAGATGTGCTGAGGTCACAGACACGGTGCAGGAGCAGGGGGAGCCGGGGTTCTCCTCCACTGGTTTTTATTTTCTTGGTGAAGTAGGAAACCAAGCCATCACCTGAGTGCGCAGACAGAGCAGAAGGTGCAAAAAGCTCCAAGAGGATGAGACCACGTTGTGGGGAGCCATGCAGTTGGAGCGGATGGCATGGGTTTGTGATGAGCACTGCTCCTCGGTTAGCAAGGCTAGAAGGAATTTCTGACTGTGTGGCAAGGCCTGGCAGATAAGGACACTCAATCGCTTCACTGATGTTTCATAGAATTCTCCTGAGGGTGTTGTTATTGTTTTTCTGCAATTGTGAAATGATTCCTGTATAACACCTCAAACTGATTAATCATGTTATGGTAAAAACAGCTTTAGCCACGTAAGGCAATGACACACAGCTAAAAGCATGCAATAGTACAATTGAGCCCACAATGTTTCCAAACATCCTGTTATGTGCCCACCTTTGTCCTGAAGCTTGCCCTAATATAAGTAATGTTTTCCTTAAGAAATGGCTTGATAATACCTTGGAACAGATGGCAATCATGGAAGTACAAAGAGTTTGTTTACCATGCGCCTCGAACTGTTACAACACATGACATGATGCATTTGCTTTCTCACCATGGAAAGCAGAAAGTATATGGGGCATCTTCTAAAGGGAAACAAATGTGAACCCCCCCCAAATGGCTTAAAATCTCAACCTTATATTGACACTAATATTTGGGGAAAGAAAACCGTTTATAAAGATAAAAGGAAGCTTCTTGCAAAGGCCCTCTGTAGAATGGCTGAGTTGCCTTGATCCCTCTCACTGCCCTTTAACAAAAGAACAAAAAAAACAATTAAATCAGCACTAAGAACAAAAAACCATTGAATCAGTACTAGGTGAAGGTGACAGTAATTCATGTATGTTTTTTTTTTAGATTTATTTTTATTATTTTTTCACTGGAAAGGCAGATATACAGAGAGGAGAGACAGAGAGGAAGATCTTCCATCTGATGATTCACTCCCCAAGTGAGCGCAACGGGCCAATACTATGCCGATCCGAAGCCAGGAGCCTCTTCCAGGTCTCCCACACCGGTGCAGGGTCCCAAAGCTTTGGGCCGTCCTCAACTGCTTTCCCAGGCCACAGGCAGGGAGCTGGAAGGGAAGCGGGGCTGCCGGGATTAGAACCGGCGCCCATATGGGATCCCGGGCGTGCAAGGCGAGGACCTTTAACCACTTGCGCCACCGCGCCGGGCCCCAATTCATGTATGTTTTAATTATAAGATTTAGTAAAGAATCTATGTTATATGCTTCCATAAATTCCTTTCATTTATGATCTTTTCTTTTAAGTCTATACTCTTGATATTTAAATAATAGTAGTTTATGTTTAGTAAAAATTGATTTTGAATATAAGTTAACCACTTGTCATTATGTAACTGCATGTGCTGCCAACCGTGGAGTTCTGGCTTCTGCCAGGTGACTGCAGGTTTGAATGAGCAATAGCTTGCTGAAAATATTTTCTCTAAAGTAAAATAATAATAATGTTTTTTTAGGATTGATTTTTTTTAAAGATTTATTTTTATTATTTTTTATTGGAAAGGCGGATATACAGAGAGGAGAGACAGAGAGGAAGATCTTCCATCTGATGATTCACTCCCCAAGTGAGCGCAACGGGCCGATACTATGCCGATCCGAAGCCAGGAGCCTCTTCCGGGTCTCCCACGCGGGTGCAGGGTCCCAAAGCTTTGGGCCGTCCTCGACTGCTTTCCCAGGCCACAGGCAGGGAGCTGGAAGGGAAGCGGGGCTGCCGGGATAGAACCAGCGCCCATATGGGATCCCCGGGCGTGCAAGGCGATGGACCTTAACCACTGCGCCACTGCGCCGGGCCCTAGGATTGATTTTGTAATCATTCTTTTATAATGAAGTAAAAATGAAACAACTGGATATTGTGCAAAAGCTTGTGATAATTTGTACATAAATAAAGAAGGCAACTTTTCTGAGTTGTCCGTTATGAGCATCATGCCATAGTGGTCCACATCTCATCTCTTCTTACTGTTTTGCCGATCCATGCATCCTTTGCAAGCTCTCGAGTCAGCCGGAGCTGGTGTCCGGCACCACGTCAAACTGTCCAGGAGAACAGGGGAGGGATAACAAAATGCTAAGGAAATGCAGCGGGGTCTGGGGACAGGGCTATCTATGCGGGTTTAGTGGTCAGCGATGCAGAAAGGGCCTACCCAACATCATCAGCATTTTTCTCCATCTACAAACACATGGGACGTGGGGCAGAGCAGGCAGACGGGAGGACTGAATCGGGATACCTCCATCAAAAACACTTTAACACAGAACAGATGGAGTCACACAAGGGCTGAGAGGACACGTGAGGAAATGATTCTAACAGCAAACAACCCCCAAAGAGGGTCAAGAAACAGAGGTGGAGGCACACTTCAGCAGGAAAAGCCTGGGGTAAGGAGTCCCAGGTGGTCATAGAACCCACCATTAATGAGATTTACCACCGTGTTTTCTGGCTACTTTTTTCAGGTCTCCCTTCATTCCTGTTGAAACAGTATTCTCAGCTCTTTGTACAGTCTACACACAGCTGCTGTGGGTTGAATGTCCCCCAGTGTTCATATGTGGAAATGCAACCCCAAGGCAACAGGGCTGAGAAGCAGGGAGCTCTGTCATGTTACTGGCCACAGCCCACTCCTCCTGGGAGGAAATCAATGCCACAGGAGCCACCCCTCACCACTGCTCTCATGCACCACACCTCCCACGCATGAGGCTGTTCATATGTATCATGCCTTCCACGCCTAAGGGGAGGCTGCTCACACGTGTCACGCCTTGCACACCTAAAGGGGAGGCTGCTCACATGTGTCATGCCTTGCACACCTAAGGGGAGGCTGCTCACATGTGTCACGCCTTCCACGCCTAAGGGGAGGCTGCTCACATGTGTCACGCCTTCCACGCCTGAGAAGAGGCCGCTCACACGTGCTAGCCTTCCATGCCTGAGAAGAGGCCGCTCTTATGTGTCACGCCTCCCACACCTAAGGGGAGGCTGCTCACATGTGTCACGTCTTCCATGCCTGAGAAGAGGCTGCTCACATGCATCCTGACTTCCTCCATGCTACCATGCAGCAAGAAGACTTGCCACCAGCCTTCCCACACTGGACCTTCCCAGTCTCCAAAGCAGCGAGCCAGATAAACTTCACTTCTAAATCACCACTCTGGTCTTCTCTCATAGAAGCACAAAATGAACTAAGAAAAAAAACAGGGCAAACATTTCGCCTCTGCATGTCTGAAAGTGGCTTTATCTCACTCTTGCACTGGAAACATCATCTGGCCCAGATCAGGAGGACACTGCTCCCCTTGCCTCTGTGTTGACAACAGGACTGCCATTAGACAGTCTTTCCCTTGTGGATGTGTTTATTTCTCGGTCATCTTAGTGATTTCTGTCTTAATCTTGATGTTCTGCAAGTTCTCAAGAGTGGCTCTGGGTGTGAAGCCGTTTTTATTTACCCTGCTCAGCTCCACAGTTCATACTCTGCAGCTTTGGGACACTCGGAAAATGAGGGAAACCCTTGCCATGCCCCTCTCTAGTCTCCACTTTGAGCAGGCTTAGGAGACACACACTATCATTTCTCATCCTTAAATGATTCTTTGCATTCTCCATCTCTTCAACCCTCAGAGCTAACAGTCTAAATTCTCCTCAGTAGCATCTTCCAGTTTACAACTGTCCTCCCATGTTGACTAATCCATTTGCCCAGAATATCACTTATGCCATTAATTACAGCTCATCAAAATGTCATTGATAAAATGTTCGTGTCTAAGATCTCTACGTGGTTCCCTTGTATCTATAAATGTGCAAAAGTTAACATTCACCTGCTTTATTGCATAATTTCTACATTACGCTTTACTGCTACTCCTTCCTTGGATGAATTTAGACTCAGTTAGAAAAGTGTTCACTTCTTCCAGACCTCAGGAATAAACTATCTCAATGGTAAAATGTGCTGTGCACAGCTTCTGGCACTATTCTCTCGTGTCTCACTGCGCTTCTAAGCCTTGTATGTCCACTGGCTGACTCCCCACCAAGCCTCAGGTTACCTGTTTCCTGGCGCCAGGTGGCCCCAGCTCCAGAGGGCTTTAGCTGCAGCCATCTCTGTCTGGCTGACCCAACCTTGAGCAGCTGGCCCCTTCACAGGAGCTGTCTTTCCTGCCTCCCCACACAGTCACAGGCCACTGCTCTGGCAGGCTGCAACTCTGCCTGAGTCCACGACTTCACGTCAGAACCAGGAGTGTCCCCACCACACACAGCCATTCGGGCCTCCCTCATCCTACAGAAACTCATCTTGCTGCTTCCATCCACATAGTTCATGATGTCAACTTACCTGCCAACATATGTATGTATTCTTTCTAATCCACACAGACAGTTGGCTTATTTCTCAAAATCTACCCTTCTTTTTTCCTTCTAATTATTATTATCATTTTTTTTTTACTAGAGATGCTTCTACATGTAGGGAGGAGAGATCTTGCTGAACCCACAACAATATCTTAGGGTCCATGTGTACTTCATGAGAAGTATTTGGTTTGCATAATGCATACATACTGCTATAGTTAACAATATCAAATTAAAATTACATGAAAAGTTCAGGAGAAATATCCATGGATTAAAGCTCTTAATTAAAACTCTTAGCCTAGTCGTTGGGATGCCTCCACCCCACACGGGACTCCCTGGATTCAGTCTGCACCTGCAGCTCCTGCTTCCTCCAGTGCAGAGCCTGGGCAGCAGTACTGAGTGACCGGATGTCTGCCACCAACCCAAGTGACCAGGATCAGCTGGCAAAGTTCCCCCTGGTCACAGCAGGCACTTGGGGGGGGGAGGGGCAAACTAAGGGACCAAGCCCTTTCGCTATCTCGCTTCCTTCACCAAAGAAAGTATGCTAATGTTTTTGAAAATAGGTAGGCTTGTGTCCTCTAATATCTTAGTAAAGCAATTTGAGAATTTCTGACACTAAGACCTTTCTACCATTCTACAACCTAAAGTCTGAATTATACCAAGGAAAAACCACCACAAAAGAGCTTACAAATACGGGATGTGGAATAGGGAGACTGGCAAAATAAACTGCTCATGAACAACCTAGGTTCAAACCCCGGCTGCCGCTTAGCAGTGAGCTACAAAAGCTCTCCTAATCTCAGTTTGTTTTGTAATAAAACTTGACTTTCATAATGATAATTCCCAAAACAAAGGGTTAAGAGAACCACAAACAGTAATACTGGTAAAAAAAAATATAATAATAATTAGAAAAAATTAGGTACACAGTGAGTGCTAGACAAAACATTCGTTAAATTTTAAAGTGTTCCATCTGATCACATGGAGATGTACAATATTCAACCAGAAAACTGAAATGTCCAACAGACTCAGGAACTGAGAGGGAAATCTGATGTGCTGTACCTGTTTGGCGGCCTTATGGGTGCCTGGAGCTGATCTCTTGGGCTTCCCAGCAGATGGACTCTTGGGGTTTCCTTCAAGGCAAGAGGAAGTAAATTAGCAGGCACCGTGACATATACTGTAAGCTTGAGGTAATTAGATGGTGATTAAACTATACCCGCTTTCAGACACACTGCACAGCACTGTGTACTCGCGGTCAGCGTGGCCTGCCTGGAGGCGAGGAGGTACACAGACGGCCTTTACTGGGGAAGGAGGGAGCACCGGCTTAAGGCAGGCAGATGTCCTTGACGACCTAAACATGCAGTCCCATGACCAACACTGCTTATGTGGTCTCCAGAGAACTTCTTCATATTCATTTGTTATCCGACAATAGAATTCATTTATTTCTTAAATCTTAATATTCTTCATTCTCCTAACACTGGGATGGGAAGTTTTTCCACCGCCAAGGGTCATATGGATATTTATAACATCATTCTCAGGGCACACCACATGATCAGCCTGAAGTAATGGAACTCCGTCTTCGGCCACCTTGGCAGGGCCAGGCCACATGAGCCAGGGGCTGGGCACTGGCCCCATCTGACCATTTATAAGGTAGGCACCTTTGTTTGGAAAAGGGAGGTTGTCAGCTCCGTGTCTTTTTGGAGCTGGCAGCATTCCAATTTGTTCTCAACATGCTATAGGATGTCAGTAAAGCTTCAGGAAAGGTTTTTGATTATTTTAGTAAAACGAAATCACAAATGCTTGGGGATAAGCACATATTTACCCAGACTTAAACATTCCAGGATGTATACATGCCTCAAAACATCGCACGGCACCCCATTCGCACAAGTCCCACGTGCCAAGCCAAATGCATGGAGAGACACAGGTCCAGCTTTAGAAAGATGGACACGAGCCACTGTTCTGTAACCATTCTCTCCTCGAGAGTGATTCAAACCCAGAATAAAACCCCATAAGGCATCACAGCCATCCTTCCTTCAGTGGTGTGACTGGGGCCAGCTCCCCCACAGAAGGGCGGACTCCCCTCACTGTGCTCTCTGGGATCCGGACAACCTTCCACTCACCCTTCTACTTCGTGCAACAGTAGGTCAGGTTTTTACAAAACTCAGCAGAAAAATACAGCTTGGCACAAGCACCATAAAAAGCAGAAAGAAACACATTTGTTTTTAGGTGGGATATAGTGTTGCTACAAAACAAGCAGTTATTTTAAAAAAATAAACATCTGGGGTGGTGCTCTGGCTTCGTGCGTTAAACTGCTGACCGTGGTGCCAGTATGTTCACCGGTTCAAGCCCCAGCTGCTCCACTTCTTGTCTATCTCCTACTAACGTGACCAGGATAGTGGCGGATGCAGCCACGTGGGGGTCTGAGAAGCAGCTCTGGACTCTTGGCTTTGGTCTGGCACTGCTGCCACTTGGAGAGTGAGCTAGCAGGTGACTCTCCTCTGTAACTGCCTTTCAAATAAACAAATAAATGAATCTTCTAAGAAATTAAGCAACTTCCTGCACATGACAGAGTATTCTTTTTTAAGTGGCAAATTTTCCATAAGATTTTTGTCATGATTGCAGATTCCCAGAGGGTTCGACTTCTCTGTACTCAGAAGTCAGATTACCACCTGTGATTCATTCCTATAGCATCTTCTTTCCTTTTTTTTTTTTTAACTTGAAATTTTAAAAAATTTACTTATTTTTATTTGGAAGGCAGATTTACAGAGAGAAGAAGAGACAAAGAGAGGTCCTCCATCTGCTGGCCTTTTATTTTTATTTTTTTAATAGAAACACCTTTAACAAAAAACACCTACAGAGTATTTTGCATTGTGCATACTCCATACAAAATGGAAAGATGTTTTGTATATTTTAATAGCAGCAACCGTAAGACACTTTTGCTTTACATTTTTACTTTTTTAAGGACTCACTTATTTTTATTGGAAAGGCAGATAAATATCTTTCACCTGCTGGTTAACTCACAAGTGGCCGCAATGGCCAGAGCTGAGCCAATCCAAAGTCAGGAGCCAGGAGCCTCCTTTGGGTCTCCCACGTGGTGCAGGGTCCCAAGGTCTTGGGCTATTTTCTACTGCTTTCCCAGGCCATACGCAGGGAGCTGGATGGGAAGTGGAACAGCCAGGACACAAAGCAGCATCCATATGGGATCCCACAGCTTTACAAGTGGAGGTTAGCTAGTTGAGTCATCACACTAGGCCCTATGTTTTCACTTTTGTAATAATGTTGAATGTACATTTTTTTTTTTATTAAATAAGTGGAGTAGCCGTATGCTCTTTATGGAAAGATTAGCTAGTGAGGGTCTAAATTTCAAAAGGTAAATTCTATCTTCCCCCGTAGTTGAGGATTTCTGATATTCAAAATAACCACTCTCTAAAAACAGCTAGTTAGCCTGACAAACCCGGAAGGAGGACTGGTCCAAGCAGATACTCTGAGTATCTTCATAACCAAATAGCACTGTTTTCACACATGACTAAGAGAGACTAGGGAAATCCATACAAGTCATACAGTTGTTCAGACTATAAGGAAGGCAGACACAAATAATTAGGACAGAGTTTATAGTAAGTGATGCTAGAACAACACTTCAAATTAAATCCCTACTACAAATTACATGAAAGCAAAAAACCAAAATTGCATCATGGAAATAAATGTAAAGGGATCAAATAATGAATAAAAATTTTAATGTAAGTTAAGCAAAAAGAATAAAACATGGATCAATGCTTTTTAGGCCAGAAACATCCTACTGAGAGTAAGAAGAAGCTGTGTAGTGGAAAGAGGAACCAAATTAAAGAAGATGTTAAAAACTTTTTTAAGTATATAGAAACAATTTAAGCATCAAAACAGTAATCAATTATAACTCATTAACTATATTAAAAATTTTAATTTAAAAAAATCAAACATTTTCAGTCATGAAAACAGCCATTAAAACGTAAATCCAATTTCATTACTGATACTGTGAAATAATCAGCAGTTCTCTAAAATCATCTGCATACAAAGCAATACCTATTCCTTATTTAATATGCACTGTCCCGCCCAAGTGTTTGAACTGTAACATTTCAGTCTATCCCCTGTCCAGGATGAGGCACATGGTCCCACTGACAACACCCAGGAAAGCCAGTTTTCTTCCACACATACCATCATCCTCTTTGCTCTCGAGGGGAACACTCCAGGCAATCAGGTTCCTCGCTGTCCGGCCCTCCTCGGCCACTATCCTCCTTACTTTATCGTGACTGTTGGAGCGCTGGAATGAAGCCTACATGTGAAAATAGAGCACTCATCAGGTTAATACATATCACGCAGGTCAACATAGTGACTATAGTTGGTAAATTTAGTGTTCTTCACATTTTCTCGGGACAGACAGACTTAAAACGAATTTGGGATGTAGAAGGTAACCAAGGGAAGCAAAAATAAGTCCCAAGTTTTTAGAAGCCTAAGAACTCAGGATTCTACAACCTTAAAAATACATTGCATTCGAAAACACAACCGCAGAGTCAGGAAATGTCCTGCACAGCAGCACACCTGGCTGTACACCTGTCAGCATGCTCAGTGGACCCCATCGGCATCCCCTGTGCACCTGTCAACATGCTCAGTGGACCCCATCGGCATCCCCTGTGCACCTGTCAGCACACTCAGGGTACCCCAACAGCAGCCCCCATGCACCTATTAGCATGCTCAGTGGACACCATCAGCACCTCCTGTGCACCTGTCAACATGCTCAGTGGACCCCATCGGCATCCCCTCTACACCTGTCAGCACGCTCAGGGTACCCCAACAGCAGCCCCCATGCACCTATTAGCACGCTCAGTGGACACCATCAGCACCTCTTGTGCACCTGTCAACATGCTCAGTGGACCCCATCGACACTGCCCTGCCCTGCAAGTAAGGAGACTAAATCTCACAAACATGCTACAGAGGCTGACACCTCCAAAAGTCCTTAGAAAATTTGAATTAAACATTAGCTTATTTTGGTGCAAAACATTTTTGAAACCCAAAAAATTTTTTGAAACCATTTTTCATAATGCATATTTTCTGTTAACTCTCAGAAGACTCCACATAGTTTCCCACAGCATGAAATATTTGGGAAATCCTTTTTTGTTCTTTGGAGACAGCGCTAATGCAAATCCAGTATACTTTTATCTAAAAGTTCTTCAGATCTAAACACTACTTCCTGTGACTAATATACTTCAATTATCCATTTCAAATCCCAAACTGCTGAAAGCAGTGTCCTGCGTGTTCCAGCCCCACCTAGACCCACCCAAACTAACCCTGGGCCAGCTGGAAGCAGGCCCTGGGAAAGCCAGGAAGCTGCTTCCCACCCCATAAATGCTGTAGCAAAGACTTTTATCAGCCAAGCACCTATGAGAAGAAAGGAAGTCTAACCCTGAACTTCCCACCTGACTCTGAATCAAGTTCACCACTGAGTCCAGCCCAGACTCTCTGTTCATCTCCAGGTGCCCCTACACCTCCTCCTGGTGCTTGCCAGCTCAGGTGTTCAACACTCCTGGAAACTTTGGTCAGCATACACTTCCCAGGCAATCACTTCATATAAACACTGAGGAGAACCTGCTTAAGGATAAGGTACCTTGCTTGTCCCTAAAGAGCCTACAAGCCACAGGAGAGAATCAACATCATAAAAGCAAAAACTTCACTATGAATTAGGCCGCATGGTAGCCAGTCTTCAAAGATGCCTCTTCCCTCCAGTAAGCCACACCTGCGGCTGCCTCCCACCCTAGTGCAAGCCACCCCCTAGAGGACCAAGGAGCGAGCGAGTGTAACTTTTGGAGATGTGGTCACTAAAAGGTTCGCAACTTCCAGCAGGTCTCTGGGAATGTTCCCTCTTGGTATCACCACCCTTAAAACAACTCTCATTAGGCTGGTGCCACATCACAGGTTAGGCCTGGGCCAGCAGTGCACGTTTCCCATATGGGCATCAATTCAAGTCCCGGCTGCTCCGCTTCCACTCCAGCTCCTGGCTGGAGCATCTGGGAAAGCAGCAGAGGACGGCTCAAGATCTCGAGCCCTGGACCCATGTGGGAGACCCCAGAAAAGGTCCTGGACCCTGGCTTTGAATCAACCCAGCTCCAGTCACTGTGGTCCTCTGGAGCGTAAGCCAGCAGAGAGAGGATCTCTGTTTCCCCTTCTCTCTCTGTAAATCTGCTTTTCAAATAAAAATAAAACAAAAAAATCCTCAGCCCACAGGGCCAGTGCTGCAACACCGTGAGCCACTCTGTCACCCATGACATCAGCAACCACCATCATATAGCACCTGTTCAAGTCCTGGCTGCTCCACTTCTAATCCAGAACCCTGCTGAAGCACCTGGGAAAGACAACCCAAGTGCCTAGGCCCTGCTACTCATATGGGAAATAGAGCCAAAGCTCCTGCTCTCTGCCTTTGCAGCCACTTGGGGAGTCAATCAGTGGATGGAAGATCTTCCTCTCTCTAACTCAACTTTTCTAATCAATCAGTCAATCTTTAAGGAAAGCTCCCAGCGTTCCTGTGTTTGCCCCTACCGTGGCCTCGATCGCGTGAGGACTGGCAGGAGGCAGCTGCACCAGGGCCAGCAGCACTTGACAGGGCTGCGCTGGCCCCCGCGTGCTTTACGTGGCAGACAGGGACACGCTCATCAGGGAAGCGTGGAATGTGCCTCCACAGCCTGGCATGCACACAACTCTCCCTAGAAACTTTCAAACAAACAAACAAAAAAAACCGACTTTCTGAGCAGAAAAAGAGGAAAGTAGGGCTAGAACTTTCAGGGTCAGGAAAAACTGGTGTACTTGGTAAAAGTGCATGAAAAGAAACTGCACGACTGTTTGAGGAGCACCAGGCCGGGTCATTGAGGCCATTTGGGGAGCAAACTGGTGGGCAGATGATTAATCAGTATCTCTTTCACTCTGTATCTGCCCTTCAAATGAACAACAAATCTTATTTTTTAAAGCAAGACTGATGAGAAAACGTGGACAGTGACTAAACATAATCTTTGAGTTTTGTCATAAAGAACAAACCAATGATCAAAGACTTCTTTAGGAAGCGGAAAAGAGACCATGTTTGTATGCTGACAAGAATGATCCACAAACTGGGCCCAGCACAGTGGCCTAACAGCTTAAGTCCTCGCCTTGAACACGCTGGGATCCCATATGGGCGCAGGTTCTAATCCGGGCAGCTCCACTTCCCATCCTGCTCCCTGCTGGTGGCCTGGGAAAGTAGTCGAGGACGGCCCAAAGCCTTGGGACCCTGCACCCACATGGGAGACCTGGAGGAGATTTCTGGCTCCTGGCTCTGGATCAGCGCAGCTCCAGCCACTGCGGTCACTTGGGGAGTTGCGGCCACTTCGGGAGTCATCAGATAGAAGATCTTCCTGTTTCTCCTCCTCTGTGTATATCTGACTTTGCAATAAAAATAAATAAATCCTTAAAAAAGTAAAAAAGAATGATCCACAGGGAAACGTCACCATCCTGAGAAAGAGTAAATAACCACACGTGCTCCTCAATCTGTGAGCGCCGGAACTGGGTTTTGATCCACAAACGAGTAAAGCAACAGCCACCCAAGACAGGAGGAAAACCAACACAGCACTGTCCCCAAACCTCCTCTCCTTCGCAGGTTATTGTCCTTCTTTTTAAAGACTCATTTATTTTTATTGCAAAGTCAGATATACAGAGAGGAGGAGAGACAGAGAGGAAGATCTTCTGTCTGATGATTCACCCCCCAAGTGGTTGCAATGGCTGGAGCTGAGCCAATCTGAAGCCAGGATCCAGGAGATTCTTCCAGGTCTCCCACACGGGTGCAGGGTCCCAAGGCTTTGGGCCGTCCTCGACTGCTTTCCCAGGCCACAGGCAGGGAGCTGGACGGGAAGTGGAGCTGCCGGGATTAGAACCGACACTCTTATGGGATTCCAGTAAGTTCAAGGCGTGGCCTTTAGCTAGTAGGCTACCATGTTGAGCCCTCTAATGTAACTTTTACCAATTTAGTTTTTTTATACTTAGTACACATACAGACATACATGGAAAAAGCCACCAATTTAAGACTTTGTTTTTATTCTCAATCCCTGTAGTTGATAAGCAAAAATGTTGACTTATTTTCCTACATTTTTCATTTTATAGCACAGATGCTTTCTCTAATATGTTAAATGGACTCCTTTCATTCTTAATCCAAAAAGTCTAATCATGTTTAATAATCTGGATCTTATTAAAATGTCAGCAATAACGTAAACATTTTTAAACATTTTAATCTAAATATCAGGATTTGAAACTCAATGAGTCTGTGATACTTAATAACATTATAGACATTTACCTCGATCTATTTTTTCCTAGGTTCTTTTCTTACAGGAGACTGCAACATAACATGAATCCAAAGTCACAGTGCCCTCTAGTGGTGCAAGAGGATTTTACAGAGACCAATTTCCTGTAAAAAGCCTGACTGGATCCCTGAGTGAAAAGTCCTCATGCTCACATCTCACAGTAAATAATCTAGGAAAGCAAAGGTTCAAAACACTCACCAATGGACGACATCAAGAGTTCTGTTCCCAAATGAGAAAAAAAAAAAAAAACCTTCTCTTTTAGGCAAAAACAAACAAACATAACCCAGCAGCCCAGGGGCCCACACCAGAGCAACCGGGCTCAGTTCCTGCGGGGCGTGCAGGCCATGGGAGGCAGCAGGCAGGGCTCAAGGAGCTGGGCCCTCACCAGTCACAGGGCAGGCACCTGAACTTAATCCGCAGCTCCCTGGGACAGGCCTCCTGCCGCCGTGGATATCTGGAGAGTGAACTAGCAGATACTGTCTGCCTCCCTCTTCCCAGCTCAGTGCGTGTGTGCGCATGCGCACACATGCCTCTCTCCGCACATTACCTGAGACAGGAAGGGCTCTGGTAGTGGGGCTTTATGAAAAATATTCTTTCCTGAATTTTTCAGAAAGTTGAAAAACAAGCATTGAAATCATGGGGATCTCATTTATGGTCACCTAGTAGTCTGCGTGGACTTTGAGGAAATTGTGTAAAGTAGCAAGTTTTACAGAGGTATAAACACAAATATTCAGCAAACAATATTTGTAACCATGTTGTGATTATGAGGCAAGTTAAAAATTATTCTAAGAAATTCTAGGCCCTTGATTTTTGCCTGGCCCAAGGCAAGTTATTGAGGATATTTAGGGAATGAACCAGCAGACAGAAGGTATCTTTCTTAAAAAAAAAATATAGGGACCCAGCGCGGGATAGTATAATGGTTAAAAGTCCTCGCTTTGACATGCCAGTTCTAATTCTGGCGGCCCTGCCTCCCATCCAGCTCCCTGCTTGGGCCCAGGAAAGTAACTGAGGACTGCCCAAAGCCTTGGGACCCTACACCCAACATGGGAGACCCAAAAAAAGCTCCTGGCTCCTGGTTTTGGATTGGCTCAACTCCAGCCGTTGGGGCCACTTGGAGAGTGAACCATTGGACGGAAGACCTTCCTCTCTGTATACCTGCCTTTCTAATAAAAATAAATAAATTTTAAAATAATAATAATAAGTACTTATTTCTCTTTAAGTCATATTTACAGAGAGAAGGAGACACAGAGATGCTTCATCTGTTGGTTCACTCCCCGAATGGCTACAACAGCCAAAAGTGAGCCAATCCGAAGCCAGGAGCTTCCTTCCAGGAAGCTTTCCCAGGCCATAAACAGGGAGCCAGAAGGGAAGTGGAGCAGCTGGGACACGAACAGGCACCCACATGGAACCCAACACACACAAGGAGCACCCCAGCCACCAGGCTATCATGCTAGGCCTGTGAATTTGCAAATTTCTATGAAATTTTTTTCTATGAAAAAGTCTTTGAAAAATACCATTCACGTGGTATTGTGTGCTGCATAATCAATAACAGAAAATCTGAATAGTTTATGTAAGAAACGAAAGCCCACATATCAAAGTCCAGGCCCAGGAGGGTTTTACTAGTGAATTTTCTTAATCATCTAAGCAACAAAATACATTAAATTCTTCTAGAGAATAAAATAGAGGAAATACATCCCAATCCACTGCTAGAGGCCCACCTAACTCTATCAGAACTCAGAAGGACACTGTAGAAAAGATAAATTATAGTTCCGTGCCTTTCGAGAGTACAGATGTGAAAATCCCATTTACAAGCGTATGTTACATACAGAAGCATATACATACTTGTGAACTGAATCCAGGCAGCACATTACAACCAAACTGAGCTTGCTGGAGGAATGCAAGCAAAAGCAATTCCTCATATAAACAGTTATTCATCTCAGATCAAAAAGCAAGCTAGTGATTAAGTCAACACCACTCATAACAAGCTATTACCGAGGTCCTGACCTACAGATGTGTGTGTAGCTGTCTATTTCACACTCTTTCTCTCTCTCTCTCTGGAAGGGAGAAAGGGAGAGGGACAAAGATCAACAGTAAATTTTTAAATGAATAATGTATTTCATCAATTCAAGAAACATAAATAGAGATGCTTCTTTTAGAAAATAGTTTAAAAAAAATAAAACAATTGCCCCAGCACTTATTAGAACTGCTATTTTCCAAGTAAAACAAAAACAAATGCTAAAAAAAAGTTAAAATTGGGGCAGGTACTGCATTACAACAGGTGAGGCCACCACTGATGATGCCCACATGCCCCACGGGAGTGCTAGGAGGACGTCCTGCTCCCCGCGTGTGCACCTCGGAGGCAGCGGAAAGGCCAAGTGGTTGGGTCTCTGCCACCCGCATGGGAGAAACTGTGTTCCTGGCTCCTGCCCTCGGCCAGGACTACCTCCAGTTGTGAGGATTTGACGAGTGAACCAGTGAATGCAAGAGGTGGATGTAGGCATATCTCTAAATGAATCTTCAATAAACAGAGACTAGGCGATGGCACTGTGCCACAGTAAGCAAAGCTGCCACCTGCAATAATCAGTCTCCCAGGGAGGCAGGTCACATCCCTGATGCTCCACTTTGCACCTGGAAAAGCAGCACACTTGGACCCCTGCCGCCACATGGAAAATCCAGATGGAGTTCCTGGCTCCTGGCTCCAGCCTTTGTGGCCATTTGGAAAGTGTACTAGCAGATGGCTGTGACTCTATCTCTCCATCTCTCTCTCTCTCTCTCTCTCTCTCTCTGTAACTCTTTCAAATTACTAAATAATTCTTTAAATAACCAGATGATTAAAAATTGGTGAGGATGTAGGTAAACAACAACCCCTGGGTACTGGTACCAAGACTGTAATAAAATGGTACAGCTGCTGCAACAAGAACCAACATCATTCCTCAAAAAGGTAAAAACAGATTCACCAGTCGACTCAGTCACTGTAATTCTGGATACACACCCAAAAGGAAACAAGGTCCTGAAGAGATACTTGCACACCACATTCACAACTGCACCATTCCCAATAGCTAATAAGAGGAAGCAACCCAAATGTGTGACAGATGAACGGAGAAGCAAAATATCCTACATGTGCAATAGAATCTTTTTCAGTCTAAAAAAGGATGGGAACTCCAACACATAATACAACAGGGAAGAATCCTGAAGACACTGCCCTCAGTGACATGAGTCAGTCATAAGAGGACAAACACCATAGGAGGCTACAGCCAGAAATCATAAAGACAAGACAGACAGCACAGGAGGAAGTGGAGAGGCACAGTGACCACGCCCCGGATGAAGCTCAGCTCCCAGTGGGAACATGCTCACAGCCATGTGCTGGGTGCCGACCAGTGTCATGCTGATCAGCCATGCTGGTGGATGTACCTCCTGTGTGCTTCACCACAACAGAAAACCTTATGACAGAGGAACAAGTTAAACCCAATAAGTCAATCCTCTGAATTTTAAAATGTCCTACATGTTGTACACAATACTGAAATTCTGCCAGAAAGAGAAACAAGCCCCTAGGACTGTAGGCTGAGGATGGCGCAAGACTTCTCGTCAAGGTGCAAAGAAAAGAAAACCCTGTTGGCAGAGACCCCCAACCCCAAGCCCACCTTCCAGAAACATCAAAACCTCCTCAGAAAAACCAGCAAGGCCATGGACAAAATACAGGGATCAGCATGGTAACATAGTGGCTTAAGTCCTCGCCCTGCACACACTGGGATCCCATATGGGCACTGGTTCATGTCCTGGCTGCTCCACTTCCCATCCAGCTCTCTGCCTGTGGCCTGGGAAAGCAGCTGAGGACGACCCAAAGCCTTGGGAGCCTATACCGGCATGGCTGACCTGGAAGAAGCTCTTGGCCTTGGATCAGCTCAGATCTGGCCATTGTGGCCACTCGGGGAGTGAATCAGCAAATGGAATATCTTTCTTTCTGTCTCTCCTTTCTGCATTATCTGCCTTTGCAATAAATTTAAAAAAAAAAAAAACCCTCACGGTAAGGACTTTTCAGGATGAAATTGATGGCAATGACAGATACAAACAAATCACAGCCCTGCAGCTGAGGGAGAGTGTGGCTTTAGGAGGTGGGGGAGGATACAATGAGAAAGGGGCCACACGCAGATGCACTCCTGCAAGTGGGGCCTATGCCGGAGCCCCACATATTACAAGGCCTCTTCCCTCAAAAACACTGGAGCTGGAGTTATAGATCAACGGATTAAGCTGTCATCTGCAACATTGGCTGGCATCCCATATGGATACCACTGGAGTGCTGGAGATTTGGCTGCTCTACTGGTTTTGATTTTGTTTTTTGTTTGTTTATTTGTTTTTTGGCTGCTCCACTTCTAATCCAGCTCCCCTATATTGCACCTGGGAAATGAGTCGAGGATGGCTCAAGTGCTTAGACCCTTGCACCCATGTGGGAGATCCAGGTGAAGTTCCAGAATCCTGGCTTCAGCATGGCCCAGCACGTCACTGTGGCCATATGGGGAGTCAACCAGCAAATGGAAGCTCTGTCTTTCCCTCTGCCTCTGCAATTCTGCCTTTCAAAAGAAATGTTCTAATCAAACCCCAAAGATAATCAGGAAATCACTGGGTGAACAGTAACTAAAATGGAAGAGTTTACAAATGGAACAGGGTGCCCCCGATCAGTGAATGTGATAAAAACAAGAGAGTAACAAATCACACACCCTGTGCCAGGAAAATCAGAGTAAGGACAGCTGCTTGGGTGTTGGGCTGGCCCTGGAGGAGTTGGCTGAACAGGCTGGGTCACCTGCGGCCGCATCCCCTGTATCTCCTCGGTCGGGGCAGTTTCAGATGATACAACTGTGTTCCACACAGACATCTGTCTGTCCACTTCAGCTGGGTTCAAGAACCATCCCAGCGTGGGGAGAGCAGAGTTCCTCTAAGAGCTGGCTGGGCCTGGGGAGCAGCTGGTCAGGCTGCTGGCTGGTGTATGTTTTCAACCATAAAACTTAAAGGAAAGCGGGGACCTCCTGCACTCTGGCCCGTCGGGCCCTGGGTGGGGACAGAGCCCCAGGGCTCCCAGCCTGAGCGGGATACTCCCATCTGCTCACTTCATGATGGTGCCTGGCAGCAGCATGCTCCAGAGCATCCTGGGGAAATGAGCCAGGAAGGAGGGAGGGGGGAAGCCCTGTCGGCAGCTAGACACTTACCATCATGCCTTCATTCTCTTCTGTGCCAAGATCATTCACCACATAAACCCATGGAGTGTGACTCCTGCAATACAAGGTAGGCGTACCATTAGTCAACATATGACCAAAAAAATTCACGAAACACATGCAAGCCTCATCTATTCAGGGTTCTTACCACACTAAACATGGATACAACACAACAGGCTTTAAATACCCTAGACTGAACAATACCTCAGTTCTCTCCAAAAGCAAATATAAAGTGGAAGAGAAGTGTCGGCTACATTAATAAAATACTAACAGGTGTTGACAATACTAAATTAAAAGTTTCTACTTTCTACTACAACCCATATACACACTCTCTCAAATTGACTGACTGAAGAAACATTTATCTCAACTGTGTGAGACACATTCTTTATATTTTTATCCATTCTAATTTCAGTTTTTTTAATGTTTATTTAAAAGACAAGAGACAAAAAAAAAAACTTCCACCTGCTAGTTTAATCCCTAAATGCCAGAAGTAGCCAGGCGCAGGTCAGGCTGAAGCCGAGAACCTGGACCTCAATTAGGTCTCCATGTGGGTGGTGGGGACCCAAATATGCTGAGCCACCACTTGCTGCCTCCCAGGGTGCACAAGAATCTGGAATCAGAAGTGGAGTCTGGCCAGTGTTGTGACGGAGCAGGTAAAGCTGTCACCTGTGGTTCCAGCATACCATTATGGGCACCAAACAGTAACTCCGTCACTTCTGCTCCAACTCCCTGCCAATGGCCTGGGGAATGCATCGGCAGGCAGCTGAAGGCTGTGGCCCTTGCCATCCACCTGGGAGGCCTGGACAAAGCTCCTTGCTCCTGGCTTCGGCCAGCTGAACCAGTAAATGAAGATCTCTCTCTCTTCGTCTCTCCTTTCCCATAAATCTGACTTTGAAAGAAGTAAGTCTATTAAAAAAAAAGTCAGGACTTGAAGCCAGGCATCCTAACGTGGGACCGAGTGTCCCAAGCAGCGTTTTACCCGTGGCACCAAACACTTATGCCTTTTTCTTCTTTGAAAAGTGGTTTTCACAGGACAGACGCAGTGGTGAGCCCAAATTAGGCAAGGAGAACACTGGGAAGTCCTTTCTAAAGAACTGTCGTAAAGTGTCTACCAGAATATCTTACCAATCCCATGAGGTTCTACGTAGGACACACCCTACTTCTCAGGGAACCCGTACTTCTAATGTGGCCTAACTTGTTCTCAAATCCAAGGCAGACAAAGCAGAACACAGATGGGGCAGAGAACTGCTAGGAAACATGGCCTAATCCTTATGGACAGCCAAAAGGCACAGAGCAGCAGCTGGGACTCACTTTCTTCCTGGGAAAGGCACCCCGATGGCCCACCCTCTGTTAAGCAAACACACTCCTTGGAAATGCATCAGCGCGCATGTAAACACAAGTCCACTCAAAACCCGACAAACATCCACCATGCTGTGATTCATAACAGCCAGGAGAGTGGGAAGCAGCCCAGTGTCCACAGCCAGCGGGACTGCTGTCTGCCAGTCAACACGGCGTCACCTGAGCTAACAATGACACCATGCAGACGGCTCTGAACACACTGAGCCAAGGTCCGAGGAGCCAGTCACAGAAGACCACATATGGCGCAATTCCATCTACGTGAGATAGCCAGAATGGTCAGTCCACGCTGTGAGGAAAGAACTGGTGTTGCCTGCGTCTGGGGACTGGAGGACAGGGATGACTATTAACAAGGGGGAAGGGTGCAGTTTTAGTTAAGGGTGGCAAAAAATGTTCCAAAATTCACTATGGTGTTGCTTGCAGAGCTCTGCAAATATACAAAAATCTACTTCTAAATGGATGGACTCCATTGTATGTGAATCGTACTTCAAGAGAGTAGCTCACAAACCCCCAGTGCTCCCATCTGCCTCACAGGAAAAACCAAGGTCCTCCCAGTAGTCCTCCCACACCCTAACTTCCCCAGCTCTCCACACCTCCCCTTCATGTCACTTCAGTCACACTGGTCTATCCTCCCACACAATGCACACACACAGGCCTCAGGGCCTCACACCTGCAGGACCCCCATTTGGAACAGTCACAATCCACTCCATCTCTGCTCAGCCACCACCTACTCAGCCAGGCCTGGCCACCGTAACCTCTTTAAATGACAACCCACCCAGACAAAACCTGTGCGAGTTCTTCCAACAGAAACAAGAGAATGCTAACAGCACACAAATATATGGAGTAGAAGGGTAATAAGAATAATCAAATTCAGCATACTCTATAACTTCAGTGGAATAAATACCACTTTTAACTCTTGGGTAAAAGTTAAAAGACAAAAGCTAACAACTACAGAGGCCTGCTATAATGACTCAATTGGCTAACCCTCCCCTTTCCAGCACTGGGATTCCATGAGTGCTGATTTACGTCCCAGCTGTTCAATTTCCCATCCAGCTCCCTGGTGGCTTGGAAAAGCAGCAGAGGATGGCCCAAAGCCTTGGGACCCTGCACTTGCATGGGAGACCCAGGAGAAACTCCTGGCTCCTGGTTTTGGATCAGCTTGGCTCCAGCCACTTGAGGTCATTAGGGGGGTAAACCAGTGGACAAAAGATCTTTCGCTCTGTATCTCTTTCTCTGTTAAATCTGCCTTTCCTGGAGAGACAAAAACACCTTCCATCCACTGGTGGAAAGGGGGGTCAGTTACCACGAGGATATAACAACTGTAAATATGCGTGCACTTAAACAGATACAGCAAGTATTTTTTTAAGGATTTATTTATTTTTATTGCAAAGTCAGATATACACAGAGGAGGAGAGACAGAGAGGAAGATCTTCCATCTGATGATTCACTCCCCCAAGTGAGTGCAACAGCCGGAGCTAGCTGAGCCAATCTGAAGCCAGGAGCCAGGAGATTCTTCCAGGTCTCCCACGCGGGTGCAGGGTCCCAAGGCTTTGGGCTGTCCTTGACTGCTTTCCCAGGCCACAGGCAGGGAGCTGGATGAGAAGTGGAGGTGCCAGGACTAGAACTGGCGGCCATATGGGATCCCAGCGTATTCAAGGAGAGGACTTAAGCCACTAGGCCACCACGCCAGGTCCAGATACAGCAAATATTAACGAAAACAGCAACTTGTAATGTTAGGAACTTCCAAGGCCCCACTTCCAACTTGAACAGATAATCTTAAAAAAGTCAGCAAGGAAAAGGGTATATTTGAACAACACTATAAACTTCTGGACCCATCTGAATGTTTGCTGAGCTGTAAAAGAATACCTGAGACAGGGTCCTCGGTAAGGAGCAGAGCCAGGCACGGTGGTGCAGTGGTTGCATGACAAATCTCTGTCTAGGCCTGATACCCACCTTTGCTTCCAATCTATCTTCCTACTCCTGTGTACCCAGGTGGGCAACAAAGGATGTCTCAAGTACCTGGTCCCCACTACCCATGCGAGAGACCAGATGAACTCCTGGCTGCTGGCTTTGGCCTGGCCCAGGCACAGCTGTTGAAAAGATTCTCTAGCACTGTGTGTGTGTGTGTGTGTGTGTGTGTGTGTGTGTGTGTGTATCTGACTTCCCCTACAAGAGGGATAGTGCTATCTCTAACATTCTACCTTTTAAAATAAATATAAAGTAAACTGTTTTTAAAAAGAAAAGCTTTAAAAAAAATAATAGTTTTAAGGAAAAGAGGTTTATCTGCCTCGTGGTTCAGAAGGCTGGACTGTGAAACTACGGGAACTGCCCAGGCGAGGCCTCTGTGGGGCCCAGTGAGGTGCAGGACATCACACAGCACCAAACTGACATCCAGGCCGACCCACTCCTGACACCCCGCTGCCCCGTGCATCCACGGAGAGCTCGCACGCCCGAAACACCTCTCAACGGTCCTACTTGGTTCCAACTCTTCACACCACAAAAGGTGATTCTTTCAACACACATTTTGCTGGGGATACTCAAACCCCAGCAGGACCTAGCAGACCTATGCAGAACAATCACACACCAACATATTTAGTACATTATAAGAAATGCACAAATTCTTACAAACATACAAGACTGAACTGAAGAAAGTGAAATCTGACTAGATCAATAACAGCAATGGAATCGTCATGAAAAACCCAACCACGAACAGCCCAGAACCTGGTGGCTTAACTCACGAATTCCACCAAACATTTACAAAAAAAGGAATTAACATCACTCCTTCTTCACTGAAGAGGAGAAAACACTTTCAAATTCACCGTGTGAGACTCACATTACTCTGATACCAAAGCCAGAAAGGGCTGTTAAAGAAAAGAACATTGCAGAGGGACGCTGCAAATGAACATTCAGCAAACTGATTCACAGCATTATGTTCAATCACCAAAAACACACTGGCCAGTGTACCATAATGCCACCAGAGAAGTTATTATCTGTTTGTTCTCCCTTTCAGGAAACATTGTAAAGGGACTGTTTTCATCCCATAAAGACAAAAAGAAAAGAACGTTGCAAGGCAATATCCATAGATCCAAAAATGCTTAGATGCTAATAAAAATCAAATGCAGCAGAACATAAAAAGACTACACACCAAGATCAATAGGATTTGTAACAGGGACACTGATTGGTCAGCATACCTACATAAGCAAATGGGGACGCACCATCCTAATGAGCTCAAGGATACAGGTCATCTGTTCACCTCAGCACATAAAAAGGATCTGAAAAACTCAGCGTCCTTCTGAGATAGCCACTCTCCAGATGAGGTACAAAACAGATGTACCTCAGCATGACCAATCCCCAACGGGCAGCACACTCATCAGGGAAAAGCTAAAAGCCTTCCTCTAAGGTGGGGACCAGAGGAAGGCTGCCCTGCCTTGCCAGTTTCACTTGACATGGCAGCCTAAGTCCTAGCCAGAGCAGTTAGTCTCCGAGAAAGGGGTATGCAAGAAGCATCCACATTTCAGGGGCAGAACTAAAACTGTTCTAAGATGTCATAATCTTTACGGCTGTGCACGGTGGTGTGCACATGAAGAGGCCATCCAGGATGCCCACCACTGGTATTAGATGGTCAGTGAGCATCTTTGCAAGTGATGCACCTGAGAAACAGCAGACAATAGCCTAAGCGCTCGGCTTCCTGCCACGTCAGGG